TTTGGCACTCTCCCCAAAACTGTTGCCAACCCCTGGAGTATGGTCTCAGTGACAGCAGGGGAGCAGGAAAAGCCTAAGGGTTCTGTCAGAGGAAAAGGTGTCTTTAGTTGGGGGAGGGGGGGGACAAGCTGAAGAACAAAGTGTCTTTTAGATGAAGGAAAATCTTAGTGGATGCAGGGGAAAGAAGTTAGGAGGGCAGAGGGCAAAGACGCCACCTGATCCCCCAGATTTATTTTACCTGCTGTAGCAGTGGGAAGGGGACAAATTCAAGGCAAACTTCCAATAATAAGATTCTATACCTGGAACATTATAACAAATGTATACATTTTCCATATATAGAATATAATTATTGGTGGATCGTCTTATATTCAGGGTTGTCTTATATTCAAGTAAATATGGTATTCATAAAACACAGGAGGATTTTAGATCTGGCATGTTATCAAACCACTGACACGAAAAGCTATGTTTATATTTTGGTTGGTGTTGCTTTGTATATTAACCCAAACAATTCATCACTAAATACTACTGCTGCTTCAGAATATGTTGCTATGTGCCTGTTATGGAAAGCATAAAAGTAATTTTAGTATCATTACTTTAACATTTGCTCATTTACAAAAGTCTGATAAGTTGCAAAGAGCACATTATTATTGAATTACAGTAGTCACTAAGGCAGAATCCTATTTCACTTTACCTACTAAATGACACCTGGTTGCATACATGTCATTTTTGACACATACACACAGTTTCAGAATCTGTTTCATACTCTTCTGAAATAGAATCATTTTACATACCTACATGCTTGCTTACTGGAATAAGATCTGGCCCACAGCCCTGTGTAATCTAGCCTGTGGGGCTCTTCATGGGTCTGGAAATTTAGTGGTGGGGGAGTGGTGCCACCATGCCCCTGCTGCCAGATCTTCAGGCCCTTTTTGCTGAATCCAGATCCAGCACCCAATCACAGCATGTATGGCTTTATGGGGGTGGTGCCAGGCTCTAGGGCCCAATCCCAGTGTGGGGCATGAGGTTGCAGTGCTAGACCCCTGGGACCCAATCCTGGCAGGAAGGGGTAGCACTGGGCCTCAGGGCCCAATCCTGGACCCAGAGCCTGTTCCAACCCACAGACAGGCCCCACGCCACTCATCTGGCTCACAGGACCAAAAGGTTGAGCACCTCTCTTAGATCAATAGCTTGGTGGTTTTAGGGCACTTGCCCAGGATGCAGAAGACTCAGGTTTTAGGTCCTCCTTACCCAGAGGGGATTTGAGCTACCATCTCTCCAAATGCCCAGCACAGTATTTTTAACCATCAGGCCATACATGAGGAATTATCCAGTCCCATTTCTAGCCCTCCTTTTCAAGCTCCTACCCTATTGGGAGCAAGGGCCCATCTAGGACCTAGGCTGTCTTGCCATCCAGAGTACCAACCATCTCACTGAGCCACATGCCCTCTGTATTGCTTGCTGCTTCTTGGTCCCAGATATTTCCCTCTCTCCACTACTTAACCAGTGGCTTGGGTGCTGGAGTATGGTGCTAGCAAAATACAAGTTTAAACCCTTTCTTGGTGAGTGGAGTCGAATCTGGGTCCCTAGTTTACTAGGTAAATGTCCTAACCAGTCAGCTAATGGGACAGAAATGTAGGAGTGTCCCATTTGTTCAGCGTCTCCTACCTACTAGTCATGGTTTTCTGCCAAGTGTGACTTAGTTCGCATGCAACCACATCTGCCAGGCCTACTGCACATGCTCTGTAACTGTGTAGATGCTTGGCCTACTGCACATGTTCAGTAACTGTGTAGATGCTTATGAGTCTACGCTGTACATGGAATAGGATCACAAACTCTGTAAATGCCAAAAATAACCATCATAAACTGCTATTTAGGTATGTAACATGAACTAGGATTCTGCCCTTAGTGTTGTCATAGATGTATGAATCTACTTAAGATTCCCAAAAGAAGTTTTGATAAGATTTTATATTTCTAAGTTTAAATTTGTCTGCCATTAAAATGATTTCATTATGAAATTTACTAATATATAGCACAAAAATAACAAGTTCCAACACTTTGCCACTCATAAACCAAGATTTTTTTATATATATATATATATTTTTTTATTCAGAATAAGCAAGTTGGTAAGAGAAGTACATGTGGAACTGGACAAAAGAAAAAGTAAGTTTTGAATTGTTTTTTCTTTATATTTTTACTGTGTAATTTAATTAGTTCCCGTCTCTTGTTAGTACAGTCTTATCTAGCACATCACACAATTACAAGAAGCTGCATTTATCATTCCTTAGACTGTGGGTGCTGGAACTTTTATTGGGTATGTCTGCACTACAGTGTATATCTCTAGGTTGGCGTATATGTATGAGGGTACACTTTTGAGTGTGGATATTAGAGGGGTTTGGACAACAACATGTACAGACCTGATATTGGCCTATGAACATCTCTCAATAATGATACCAAAGCACTCCAACTGAGTCCTCTTTGGTCAGTCAAAAGGGAGGCTGCTACAACATGAAATCTGGATTGAAGGATGTAGAAAGCAGGGTATATGTGACTACTGGGGAACTGAAAAATAATGAGATACAAAAACATTGTTAACCATGATTTGAATCTCCTTTCACTGCTACTTACCTGCCTTTCCCTTCACAAATTCACAGCTATTTATATTGCTGAATAATTTACTGTTAGTGCTAATTGGTTCATTTTCTAGTCTGATCTTCAAGATCTAATTTTTGTTCCAAAATTTTTTCCAAAGCAACTAAGAGCAGATGCAGTTCATTTGGTGCAGTGATTGAGACATTGTAACACCTGATTTGTAGGTGCAGTAAGGTACTTAGACATATAATTACCTAAATATAGCTTACAAAACATGAGAGAACAAAAAAGAAAATTTGCTTTATTGTCGATGTAAAAATTGTTTTTCATAAGTAGGAACTTACTCAAATCAAGGAGGCAGGTGGCTGATTTTGTGGGCAGATTGTGGGGCTGACTGCCATTTTCACAAGCTTATTGCAGCAGGCCCCTCCCCACAGCTCAGATTGGCCAAGGAGACCTGGCTGTCCCATCCCTCCTCGCAGATTGGTGGATGGCTCAAGACCACAGCTTTATTGCCCTGACTAAGCCTGCAGAAGTCATTAATTGAAACATTATTGAGCAATCTAAGCTCCGAATTAAACTCCAAACTGAAATGTCTTATGAAACTAAAGGTATACACAACACAAATTGTAACTAATACCATTACTGTACTTCATTAAATGATGTTGTAAAAAGGAGTTTACTCAATGCCAGCCTTGAGACAGGCGATTCATGCTAGCTGTTAAATGATAGCATGCAGCATCCAGTGGCAGTTGCTGCTGACATTCCCTGTTACTGCAGGGTGAACACTTGTCAGTACACTGAGATGGCATGCTCAGCATCCACTGAGTTCATTGGAATGGTGAGGCAGCACTTTGCCAGGGTATACAGATATGGAAACTGGTCACAAGCAGACATAAGTGGTGGAGGGAAATATTATTTGGGGGGGGCTGAGTCCTGCCTGACCCCCAATCCTTCTTCCCCAGTGGCCATTGCAGGGCCACTGCATGCTACTCCTGTACATGGCAGTGGAGGAGTGGCTGCATGCCAAGCAGTGCGCACTGCGGTATGGTGGCATTGTTTTGCTGCTGCTGTCTCCAGCTGCTGTGTAAAGTTTGAGGGGGCTAAGCCTCATTAGCCCCGGCCTTCTGCTGCCTATGCAAACAGGGTCTCAAAACACAGGCAAAAGCACAGGCATCCGAAACTCTTTGACAAAGTTCACATAAGTAGCACATTCCTTGTCATGCTCTTTCTGTCATCCAGAGATTGATTTCAGTAGCTGAGGGTCACAACTCAGAACAGGCACCTGGTTGGTGTCCAAAATGCAAACAGCACTAAGGAAAGAGGTAGATAGTTGTCAGAACCATGGTGGCAGTACCAGACTGTCCTCCTTCAAGATGGCCTTCAAGCATTGTCCAAGCCATAAGCTCTGGTACAAGGAACCCCTTACCTGGAACAGTTCTGGTCTCCACTGGTTTTCATGATGACATCTTGACAGTTCTTGTGATGCCATCTTTGACCCAAGTTATCAAATCCATCAGCTTGTTGAAGGAGGACACCAGACTATCCACATCAGGGATCGCCATGCACCAGGTGTCACTTACTGAAGGCAGAATGTGTGTGTTGCAGGTAACATGAACTGTGTTGGGCAGCATTCATTGGAGCATCTGAGAAAGCCTTGCACATGTACATGGCATTGTTGGACAGGAATGCTGAGATCTTGTTAAATTCTAAGCCATAGTTCACAACTGCTGCAGTCATGGTAGAAAAGTTGAAAGATGTGAGGTAGACCAGCTCTGTTTGAAAAACAGGTTGATCCCAGTCTTTCCAGCTCCCAGGTATAAATAACATATAAAGCACATAGTTATCTTGAGTGTTGGTGGCTTCATCAGTCACCGTGGAGAAGGATTTATACTCTGTCAATGCAAAGTTGCGGACTGCACGTGCAAAGTAATCACTGCAGGGAGATAGTCTTGGCAAAGCTTGTTGGCACATGGAAAACTGCCAGCATTTGGCAAATTTTGGTTCAGGTAGTCCCTTAACATAGGGTGATCAAGTTTCTGCAGTGGGATGTTCATTGCCATGAAAGCATCCACAAGGGAAAATGCCTCCCCTCGCTTTGCCAAGCTGCTTGCCATGGTCCTTTAAAGAGTGAGAACACAGTTGCTTGTTTCTTGCTCTGGTATTTAGCCTCTTCAGTAGCCTTTTGCTTTGTGTATGCCTCAGAATCTAAGTTTTGAGCTCTATTAGTTTTTGTCAAAACATCCAGAGTTGGGTTGTAGGCAGTACAGAACAGTGTACCTCCATCCACATTCAAGGTCCCTGCAGGATATTTCCTTAAATGGTCCAGAATTGAAACATATTTGGCTCTCTTGGAGGATTTCTTTTCACTGTTCATTCCTGCTCAATCCTCCTCAGGCTACAGCATACTGCAACAGCATGCCTTTGGTTTCTTAAGAGATGGTGTTAAACTTTGTCACTTCCCTAAGTAGCCTCAGATTGGCACTTGTACTGAGCTTGTCATAGGCTCAGCCTCTCATTTGCTTCCCCCAGCCCTCCACCTTTGTGCTTCAAGATTGAAGGGCTTCCCACCCTTTTCTCTGCTTGCCGGTAAGTTGTTTTTTCCTACAGTGAGCCCACCAAAATTGCGGAGCCCTCTGGGTTTTTTTTGGAAAATGCCTGATTTTGAGGTTTTTGTGAAAAATGCCAAAATCATGATTTTGGCAGGTCCCTACTTATAAGAAATGTCTTCATACTACTGGTCCAGACTATGCAACCTCATCACTGTTGTTAAATGATCCATTGCTGCAGAGTAAGCATAGACTTGTTTGTAGGAATATTACTAAATGGACATATGTTAGAGAGAGAGATTGTTTTGCAGAAATAAACATCTAGCAATTATCTCTTGCAAGAAAGAAGCTAGGAAAAACTTTTATGGGTAATAGCATGTTACAAAATGTCTTTTAATCATGTGTCATCACTGACTTGATGGTAAACAACAATTGGTCAAAATCTTTTTCTAGGAAAAAAATGTTAAGATTTTTTCTTTTAACAACTGGCTCAGATGGCTTCCTCTCAAAAGACAATCTGGGTAGGTATAAACATGTAGAACCATCTTTAGTAACAAGGGTTACTTTGAAAGGTACTTACATTATTTACATTAAGCATACAATATATCTGCTTTTGTGTAGATGATGATGTTTGTTTCTGATGAACATAAAAACATATGAAGTATTAAACTGGGCCAGACCAATGGTTCATTTAGCTCAGCATCTTGTCTTCAACAGTGGCTTGAGTAGTTTATCACACACTCGTTTCATTTTAACTTTTATTTAATACAGTACTCTCTCTACTCTTAAATTTGATTCAGTAACTTGTAACTGTTGGTATTTTAAACTTTGTAACAATCTGTTCTCTTTTAAGTTTGACTTTATTTAATACATGTACTGTTAAGTATGGTATTGTTTTACATTATGCACCATGTGTTTTCTCACATAATTCTCCATAAGATATTGTGGTTCCACTTATCTGAATGTTTTTAGATATTTGAATGGTTTTTTGGTAGGTACTTTCCAAAACTGTTTAGGTAACTGAGAATGGACTGTGTTTTACTGGGGAGAAAAGAGCAACAAAAAGATTTGTTTTGCCTTTGGTTTGTCCAGAGGTCTAGTTCTGTGTTTTCTATGTAGAAGATTATAGAGAAACAAAACTGAAAATAGAAAGTTATAATAGAAAGCATTAGGAAACCTGGAATTATACCTTAACTCCACTGATTATAACAGCCTCCTCTAACTAAATTAGTCATCAGATAAGTATCCTCAGAATAACAAAGAATGTTTTTTTCAATAAAACATATGATGACAAGAAAAATATGATGAATAAAAAGTATAATTGCAATCCCTTTGGTTAAAGTAGAATCATTCTCGGTGTAGTTCTAGCAGTTAAGATACAAACAGCTTTGGTTTCTTTTAACAGTTTGTTCCTTAGTTTATTCTGTTCACTGTAAATGTGGATGTGCTCTCCAGTGTGAAGATTAATGGATAAAGCCAGAAAATAAAAACAAATGCATGTCTAAACTCCATTTCACTGATCAAATGCAGTAAAAACCACTGGAAGCACTTTGTAACTGCTTCTAAAGACTATATTAGAGATCTAAAATTAAGATACACTCAGTATCATAAATTTCTCTGATTAAATACAAAAAGAGAGGAGAATATCTAGAGATATTTTGGATCCACAAAACTATTTTTTGCAGTAGACTTTATAATATTACAGATAACAGGAAGTTCAGTTTAGACCTTTCTTAGTCCAAGAACTAATCATTCAAAATATAAAAGGAAGGGCTTTGAATCTTCACTTTGTGGAATTGTACTCCTTCCCCCTGTTACATGGAGGAAGTAAGGACAGGGTTGCAAATCAAATGCAGCTTGTAAGGAGCCAAGTTAAGAGGGCTACAGGAATCAGACTGCAAATTTCAGGCAGCAGAAAACTTAGCTGCTGAAGAAGGGATGAGGAGCACCTGGGCCTTATTGACAGCAAGCCAGGTCAGGTGACTGGAAGAAGGAGGAGAAAAAGCCATATAAACCTGAGCCTGGAGCCCAAGGCTCAGATCCTCACAAATGAAGGAGCTCTGCAGGCATGGCATATGGGGAGATAAGTTGTATGTTTTGTTTCTGTTGCTGTTTGGGGATCTATGTTACACTGGAAGAGCGGATAGTGGCTGTAGAGAAATAAGAGGCCACATAGCAGGGTGCCTAGGACATTTTGGGTTTTAAGCCCTGCAGGGGGGCAGGGGGAGTGAGCCAGGCTAAGACCAAGAGAGCTAAGGCTCAGGCATGATCCAAAGAGCATCCTGACTGAGATGGGCATGAGCAAGGCCTGGAGGGGCAGGTACCACAAAGGGTGGCCAGTCTGGGGCTAGCAGGAGGAGAAGGCCTAGAGGATCTGGTGCTCCAAAAGGTAGGCAGTCTGGGACTGGCACTTGGAGAAGCCCTAGAGGAACCTTTGCCTAAGGCCAAAGAGCCAATGTCCTGGGATAGGCAAAGCTGGTGCTGAGGGGCCAGTGCCTGAACAGGGTGAACAGAGAAGAAATGAGTCATAGGGGGAGTGCCTCAGAGACATTCCATATTGTGAGGGGCAAAGGCCCAGACAGAGTCCTGTCAGGATCTGGGACCCAGTGGACAGCTGGGGCTTAAGCCTAGGGAGAGAGGCTGAAGCCTAGAAGGTCCAGCAGATCCAAACAAGTGACAATAGACGAGGCCAGGAGAGCTCCAGTCAAGAGTGAGAGCCCTGCTCCAGTTAAGTTGTGAGGATGAGCTGACTGGCAGCCTAATGATGTAGGGCAGAACAAGGCACTGAAAGCCAAATTCTGGGTATCTGAAGACAGCCTCACAAATCTGTTAACTTCTGACATCAAGGTATGGCAGGTGAGCGAGGAGGAGGCCTTATGGGGGAAACTGGGGTAAGAGAATGGGTATAGGTGGCCCCTAGGGCCCTAGGAGGCATTATGGCCATCCTGATGGAGGAGCCAATTATACTTTATTCATCATGCTGTCTAGAAGACACCAAGATCCAGTTCTACAATGACGTTATCATCCCCACTCTATGGATATGAAACATGGGTGACCTACTGTCATCCTAAGAGCCTGGAGAGGTATCACCAATGATGCCTCTGGAAAATCCTCTACATCACATGGGAAGATCACTGCACAAGCACCAGCATCCTTGCTGAAGCCAGTGTTACCACCACTAAGTTGGTGATCCTCAAGCACCAACTTCTATGGATCAGACATTGTGTGCAGATGCCTGACTCTCAACTTCCAAAACAAGTGCTCTACTCCCAATATAGTAATGGCTTGAGATCATGTGGTGGTTAGAGGCAATAGTACAAGAACACGAAGGCATGCCATAAGAAAATAAATGTGAACATCAAAGGTTTGGGAGGAACTGGCTGCCAACTGATGCCAACTGTGGCACAGACTCGACCAAGCAGCAGTTCACTTTGAGGTAAAGCATCTTACCCTTGAAACGGAGAATAGAAAGCAGAGGAAGGAAAAGAAAAGGAATCCCAGCCTGCAGCCTGTTCTCCCCTGTGGAAAGACCTGTAACCTGCAGATGGATGTAACCTCCCCCACTCCCCCCCATGTCCTCTGTCAGCCTAGGCCTCCCATGCCACGGCTCAAACTGCTGCTGTCCTGGGTGCATGTGTAGACACTGTGTCTGGAAGTAGTTTATTTCAGCTCAAACTGCTCCAGGGTTTATTGCTTCACATTAATTGTACATATAGATGCATCCAGTATTGAGTAAAGTACCATATTGATCTGAATCCAAGATGACTCTGAATTTAAGACAGCCCCCCCAAAATTAGATCATATACATAGACAATTTATTAATTTGTTAAAATTTTTCATGTATAGAATCTAATTATTACAGGATCAACTTCTATTTGTTCATATCCTGTCTCTCCCCTCTCCACCCCCACTGCAACAGGGAAAGCAGTGGCAGGGGTGCAGTTGTGGGGGAGATGGTTGGATGGGGCAAGCAGTGGGGGAGCAAGTGGGGTAAGGGAGAAAGTAGGGCGTCAAGTGCAGGGAGGTAGTAGGGGGAAAGTTGTAAGTGGGCGATGGGCAAGGATCAGGCTGCTGGACCCCACTGCTTGCCTCCCACCATCTGCCTGTTCCTCTGGCACCTGCCTTCCCTGCCCCCTGCTACTTCTCCGCCCCTATTGCCTGTACTTTCAGCTCCTGCCCTTCCCCCTGGTGTGCATTGGGGTAGTTCTCTGGGGCACAGAGAACGTAGTTGTTCCCACCCAAACCTAGTATGGTAGCAGTAGTGGTGGTAAAAGCTCCAGCACAGGCTTCCGGGTCTGGATGGAGCTGCTGCTGCCACAACATCTATTACTGCTGTGATTGGGCCTGGAGAAAGTATGTGCTTTGTTCCATAGGCTGGAGCAGAGCTGGAGATGTGCTGGAGCTGTATGGTAAGCAGCAGAGGGGGGAGTATAGGGAGCAAAGGCTATGGGATGGGGAAGATGTTGGGGGCAAAGACTGCAGAGGGGAGACAGTGAAGGGCATAGATGGGAGAGCAGTAGTACTGGAGGGGCAGGCAGCAGCTGTGGTTCTGATCCTGATCTCAGTTGGGGCTGCAGCCACAATCTCAGCATCAGCTGCAGCAGAAGCCGCCACCTGCCCTGCTTTTAAATAGGGGGAAAAATAACCTCATTGTGGATTTGAGTAAATATGGTATAGTGTTAGGCTTTGTGTGGTTGTTGCCTGTGTATTTGCAGCACAACAGTACAATTACTAGTACCTATATTGAAGAAACTCTACTAGTGCTGCTGCACTGGTGGCAGTAATAATACATCTTCACCATTGCTGCCTGGTGTAACATGGATACTAATTTTTCTAGTGCAGAGATACTGCAGGTTTGCATGTACCAAAATACCATATTTTTTCACATACAACACCCCCTCACTAAAAACAGCAGTGGAAAATGCAATGAGAAATTCATTATATGCAAGAAATATAGTAAAGAGCAGTTTCTGTTGGTTACCAGTGAAAGTGAAAGTAAAACGTGCATGCAACTCAAAGCCACAGACCCTGCATTCCATGGGGGCCCTGCTTCTGGGGTACCCCACTGCACAGGCAACACAACTCCCACTCTAAACTTCATGTGCAGCCACTCCTGGCTACACATGCAGCCCAGTTCTGCTCACCCCAGCTGCATGCAGAGCATGGGCAGCACAGACCCTTCCCTGGCCCCTTTACCCCCACTGTGCTGTCCTGCCCCCCTGGAGCGGGTGGGAAGCAGAACCCAGAAAAAGAAATGGGGGGGGGGGGGCCCAGAGTCCCTAGCTGCCCTAGCAGCAAGAGCAATGGGAGGAGTGGTGGCCTGTAGATCACATATGAACCGCTTGGACAGCCCTGATATAGAACATTAGAAAAAAGTGTCTACAAGGTGTGAAAAGCGTCTAAGTCTACACCCCATTTGCTGTTTGAACATTTTGGATTTAATCATGAAGCTCCTTAGTTCTGTTTTTTCCATCTCTTGTTTTGTAATATGTTGTGGGAAATGGTGGGAGCATAAGTGTGA